TTTTTATTACTTTAGCCCTGTAGGATAATTCTAGATCAGAGATGGTAATGCCTCCAGCAGTTCTGCTATTGTTTAGGATTGCTTTGGCTATCTTAAGTTTTTTGTGTTTCCGTATGAAATTTGAGATCATTTATTTTTCAATTTTTATGAAGGATTGTGTTGGAATTTTACTGGGTCTTGCATTGAATTTGTAGATTGCTTTTGGTTTTATGGCCATTTTCACAGTTAATCCTACCGATCGATGACCCTGGAGACCTTTTCCTTGTATCTTCTGCAATTTCTTGTATCTTCTGCAATTTCTTTCTTCAGTGTTTGAAATGTCATATGATACAGGTCTTCCACTTTCTTGATTATATTTGTTCCAAAATATTTTATGTGTTGTGAGGCTATCCTGAATGGGATTGTTTCTCTGGTTTCTTTCTTAGCGTGTTGCTTGTTGGTGTATAGGAAGACTACTGAGTTTTGTGCATTGATTGCATATCCAACCACTTTGCTGTCTTTATAGCTCTAGAAGCTTTCTGGTGGAGTCTTAGGGGTCTTTTATGTATTGTATCTTAATGCTCTAAGATGGATTATCTTTCTGATGTACTCTTGCGTTCAGTTTCCAAGTATTTTATTGAGAATTTTTGTGTCTGTTTTCATAAGAAAAATTGGCCTAAAAGATTCTTTTTTTGATCTTTGTTTAGTTTGGGTATCAGGGTGATACTAGCTTTATCAAAAGAATTGATAGGCATCTCCTTCCTTAGACTTGGGAAGTTTTTTTTTCTTTGATTTTGCTGAAAATATTTTCTATGCCTTTGACCTGGGATCTTCTCCTTGTTCTATAACTGTGATTCATAGATCTGTTTTTTTTTTAATAGCATTCCAAAGCTCCCTTTTTTTAGATTTAGCATTTTCTTTGACTGAATAATCCAGTTCTGCTACCCTGCCTTCAAGGCTTGATATTCTCTCTTTCACGTGATTCATTCTATTAGTGAATCTTTTCAGTGAGGTTTTATTTTACTGATTTTCTCATTTCAAGTTTTATTTCAGCTTGTTTTTCTTGTTCAGAAATTCTATTTCTTGATTACATTCTATCTTCATATCTTGGATTTTTAAAAATTTCATTTGGCTGTTTGTGTTTTTACGGTCTTCATTCTGGAAGCTATGCATACCCTCTTTGAGCATATTTATAATCTCTACTTTGAAATCACTGTCTTGTGCCTCAAGTAAGTTGCTCTTCCTGTGGGACATTGCAGTAGGTGTACTGATATGTATTGGTTTGATTATTCATATTATTTATGTTTTTATGATTAGACCTAGGCATTTGCAATTTGGTTGCTGTTGGTGTATCCTGGTATGGATATCTGGTCTCATCTTCTTGTTGAGCACTCTTGAGGCTTTGTTTGCACTTCCAACCTTTCAGGATGTGGACCAGAAGATGGTGCTAAGTGTTCAATTTTGTGATAATTCTGTATCGATATGCAGTTCAGGTACCTAATGTGTTTCCCCACAGCTGTGGATGTGTGAATTTCTAAGCCTAGGCACAAACCTTCTGTGGAGTTAGTAGATTCTTGTTGCTAATTTTCAGAAGTCTGTGGGTGGTCCTTTTGTGTCAGGGGTTGGGGTCACAGTGGGAATGGGAGGTGCTCCCTGGGGGCTAAGGGGAGGACATCACACTGATATCACTTGGATGTGGTTGAGGTTGAGGACAGGTTGGAAGTCGCTGACTGGGTTGTAGATCTTAGAACTCCTCTTAAGTCTCTGGGCTATGTTGTGGGTGGGGTGTTTGGTAGGGGTGGGAGTAGATAGGCTCTGGGTATTGCCATCTTGCAGAGGGAAAGTTTCTGATGATGCTTCCAGGGTTCATTAATAGGGAGCCATCCGTGTATTCTTGGCTGTGGCGTAGAAAAGGCCTCTGGGCCTTGGGGTGATGGCAGGTGGGTGGGAGCAACCAATCTGGGTCTCCAGGCCACATGTGGGACCTGGAGAATGCCTGATCTTCAGCCTGCTCAGGGCAGGTGAATTCCAAAGGGAAGGCAGGATAAGAAATAAGTCTTTGTGGCATGTGAGGGGTTACTGATTGCCAGCAGCAGGGGCTAGGGATGATAGCAGTGTGGGAGAGGCCACAGACCTGGGTCTCTGGACCAAATGGTTAACTGGAGAATCCCTGATGAAGTTAACTGAGGTCAAGGAATCCCAAAGGGAGAGATAGAGGTGGAAAGCACTGGTAAGTGATGGTGGCTGTAGGAATCAAGGCTTTTAATTTTTAAAAACACTATGTAATTGTTGTATAAAATACAATGTTATTATTCACCCCTGAAAGATGAAGAAGAGTGTGGTAATTTTATTTTTTTAATTCCAAGTTATGCTCATAAAATGTACATAAGCAATACCAATTCTTTATTTGAATGAATTCTCTTTAAGAAACACACAAATTAAGGCTGGACATGATGGTGCACACTTTTAAATCTCAGCATTCAGGAGGCAGAGGTAGGTGGATCATTGTAAATTTGAGGCCAGTCTGATCTACATAGTGAGTTCCAAGCCAGCCAAGGTTACATAGTGAGACACTGCCTCAAGAAAACAACAACAACAACAACAACAACAAAAATAAAAGCAAAAACAAAAACAAGCAAGCATGCAAAGACAACCAAATATCAAACAAATAAAGAATGAGAATTAGAAATCTGTTAGGACTGGAGACAGCATATTGGTAGAGTGTCAATTACGATGTGAGAGATCCTACTTTTAATTTCCAGCACTGAAAAAAATGAGGCATTTATTTAACAGTGTGACATTTTTCCTAGTCTTTCAGATGCTACAGGTAATTAAGGAATGCCTCTGTATGTGATGAATATTTGACACATCTACCAACGCTGAACATTGACTAATCACAGAGCCTTATATCCTTTCTTGTTGAACCAGTTTGGTATGAATATTAGTTTTCCACTAAAACACTTGTTTCCTATGTGCTTTAAGACTTCAATTACCTCTCTGTTTCTACTTGTTCAGTAATGGCTTATTTAGCTTTACTATTGTTATTCTTTCTGCATTTCTTTTGGCGTTTGGTTGTTAGCCTTAGCCTTTAATGCCTATGTCATCACTCCAGCCCACGCAATTATTTTTATAAAATTATTTGCTGTATTTTATGAATATTGAAGAGAAGAGATATATCATTTAGAACATAAATTCCTTATGGATTCTTCACACTTCTGTAGTCTAGCTCCTCTAAGTCAAGGTGTTTATGGCTAGTACATCAAAAGATATTTGTATAAAGAGATACATCAGAATTGTGAAAATTAGGGATGTGACTTTGCTTGGATGGTTCACAATGCTAAAGATATAGATTGTCCTTCATTGCTATAGAAGCTTTTCTGCATTTCAAAGTAAATTAAACTTATGTCAACAAAGGTGAAGATGGACAGGCTACTAACAATGCTGTATAAGAACAATCTTTCCTAATTTGGGGATTTCTGTCCTGTAATGCACCCTGCTCTATGGATTGGTACCATGTGGGTTCCTTTGGAATGTTGTGGTTATGATTAACTGACCATTACATTGTTCCTCTTCCAGTCTACAAATTTGAACCTTCTGGAAATTTTGGGCAGGATGATGAATAAAACCCTGTTAATTATCCCACCAATTCCTACCTAGCATTTGGATGATGCGATATGAAGAACTGGAAAAAAGGGTTCTTACCATTTTTGTCCACTGCCTGTCCACAAGATGGATGTCTTTCCCCCTCTCAATAAATACTTGCTTTTTGAGCCCAATTTAACTTCTGGATGTAAACCTTAACTCCTGTGTCTCTCTTAAAAATTTTCTTGAACTTCACAGATGTCATGCATCTATTGTGTGTAATGAGTGTGTTCTGCATTGGATTTTCCCTAAGGCCTACACCTTTAAGGGGATACAGCTGGAGAATCATGCTACGAGTAATAAAACTGATATGCACCAGACATTCCCAACTCTGCTGTCAATTTCCTAATTATTGGGAAAGAGAGATATTGGTCCCCAGTGGCCCAGCATTAATCAGGATTTCCTTCAATGCCGTTCCTGTCCTGTTCTTCTCTGCTGAATGCATTAACTAAAGAAATGCTATACCCAAACTTTGTCTACAACAATAACATAGACAGGTGGAGACCAATAAGAAGAGAGATTTTTGTCCTCAAGAGAATGACAATAAAGAAGAGAGGAACAAACATGAGTTCCCTCTGGTGACTCTATAGTCTAATTGATGCAGGTACTTAGACAACATTCACTGTGTTCTTCTCTTTATTGTAAAATTTATTATTATTATTATTATTAATTAGATAGGAGATAATTAGCATTTCACTGAGATTTTTCTGCAGGTATTTCACAGGTAGAAAATACCTGACTACAAATCATATACCTATAGAAGGCTTTTTTAAAACTCTGTAATCCTGGCTGGCCTGGAACTCACTATGTACACAAGGCTCTCCTCTACATCATAGAGAGCCACTTGCCTCTGATTCCTGAGTTCTGGGATTAAAGGTATGCCGCACCACACCCAGATCTTATAAAACATTGCTTTTAGATTTTAAAAACGGACAATATCATACTTGTCGACAATGCACTGTGATTCTATTCACACCTGATTCTCTTCACTCCTCTATACAGTGTGGGGAGGCCTGTGGAGTCTTATTTTTTATGATTTCTATTTCAAGAGACCCATAAAAATGTACAAAAGTGAAGCAATATCACAATATCAATATTTTATTCAGATCCCTTCTCTTTAAGAAGCACATGAATTAGAATTTTATTCATTGAGGCTGGGGGTGAACCTCTAGAAGATTGCCTGGTTTCATTCCCAACACTTAAAAAAATGAGCTTATTCATTTAACAATTTGAAATTTTTCCAAGTCTTCAGATGCTATTGATAATTAAGGAATGCCTTTGTATGTCATCAATACTCACCGCATCTCCAAACATTGGACATTGACTAATCACAGAGCCCTACTGATGTTCTTGTTGAGCCATGAAGACCAAGTTTTCCACTAAAAACACTTGTTTCTTATGTGCTTTAGGGCTTCGATCACATCTTGGTTTCTTAGGCTGTAGATGAGGGGATTTAACATGGGAATCATAATACCATAGAAGACGGATGCCACCTTCTCCTGCTCTTGAGACCTGTTGGAGCCATGGAGTACATACATATAAGAGAGTGTTCCATAGAAAATGGTGACTGCAGTCATGTGGGATGCACATGTGGAGAAGGCTTTTCTCCTTCCTGCAGTAGAAGACATCCTCAGGATGGCAACCAGGATAAATGCATAGGAAGAGATGACAACTGACACAGTGAATGTCAAGTTAAAGCCCACAAAGACTGTCAGCACCATGATGTTGAGGTTGATACTAGAGCACGATAGGGCGAGAATTGGCGGTACATCACAGAAAAAGTGATTAATTTCATTGGATTTGCAAAAATTTGATAAGAAAGTAAAACTTGTGTTTACTGAAGCATTTAGGAAGCCCATAGTATATGAACCAACCAGGAGCAGAATGCAGAGTCTCCGGGACATGATGACAGGATAGTGCAGTGGGTTACAGATGGCCACGTAACGGTCCACAGCCATCACAGCCAGGATGAAGCAGTCACTGGTTACAAAGGTACCATAAACTAGCATTTGAACTGTACATCCAGTGAAGGAGATGGTTGGTTTTGTGCTCAGAAAATTCTGCAATGTTTTGGGAGTTATGGCAGAGGAATAAGAGAGATCAACGAACGCCAAATGCTGGAGGAAGAAGTACATGGGAGTGTGCAGGGAGGAATGGAGACTGATGAGCAGGATCATACCAATATTTCCTACCCAGGTGGCTGCATAGATCATGAGAAATACCACAAAGAGGATGTGCCAAAACTCGTGTTGACCAGCAAATCCCAGGAGAACAAATTCAGTCACTCTGGTGCCATTACTTTGTTCCATATTTAGAAAAAAACTATATATCAGCTGAAAACTAGCAAAGAAATAAAGTGAAAAAAGTAAGAGCATTTGGATTTTTGAACTAATTTGGATTTAGATATGCTTCAACACATAGTTTCATTATGGGTTCAAACAGTATTTTTTCTCTCTCTCTCTCTCTGTCTCTGTGTGTGTGTGTGTGTGTGTGTGTGTTTGAGTGTATATGCACTTGAGGGTGCATGTGTGTGTGTGTGTCTGTGTGTGTGTGTGCATGTGTGCATGTTTGGAAGCCAAAACCCAACCTTGCATATCATTCTTTTATTATTTATTTTTTTGCCTTTTTGTTTATTTATTTTTATTTTATGAGTGTTTTTACCTGCATGTATGTAAGTGCACCCATGTCATGCAATGCCCACAGAGGCCAGAATAGGGCTACAGATCCCCTGGAACTGGAGTTATGGGAGGTTGTTAGCCACCATGTGGGTATAGGGAACCAAACTTGGGTCCCTGCAAGAGCAGCCAGTGTTCTTGACCACTGAGCCATTTCACCAGTCCCCTTGAGTGTCATTCTTTAGGTGCCATCCACCTAGTGATTTGGGACAGAGTCTCTCACTTTTTACTTTGCACTGGATGATTGGGCTAAGCTTCCTGGTCACTGAGCCTCCAGGATCTTCCTGTTTCTGCCTCCCCAGTGCTGGGATTGCAAGAATGCCCCATCATGATGACATCATTATTATTATTATTATTATTATTATTATTATTATTTACATGGTTGCTGTGGGTCTGAGCTCTGGTCCTCATGCTTGCAAGGCAGCCACTTTACTGGTTGGGTTATTTCCCCTACCTCTGAAAGCATATTTTCTGTGACATACTTAACTTGGAATTTAAGGGCTGAACCTTAGTACTCAGATAAATACATTCATATTTTTGAGAAATTACTTTTGGACAGAGCTGTGTTTTCAGCTATGGTTTGTCAGTTCATGAATGTATCAATCAAGGGAAATGAAAATATGCTCATTTCACTATTGGAGTTTCTCCAGTGCTCTGTATGTTAAAAATACTATTCATCCTGATCTAGCTGTAAAAAAATACTATTTATCCACATTCATCATTGTATTGGAAATCTCAACCTATTGTTAACATTTCTATGTAATCTTTCCCAGTGATACTGTACTCCTATTCTGTCCTTCTCCTCTCCTTCCCAGAACTACTTTAACTATCATGGATGCATGGTCATGTACAATTTTCTTAGATGTGTTTATCATAGTATGTAGAAACATTTCCTTTGCAAAATTTCAAAATTTTATGAAAAGAAATAAAAGTGTTGAAGCTTTGTCAAAATTTCTTAATAATTCTAAGTAAACAGGATCACTTCCTGGTTTTACTTCATCGTAGACAGATTAGGTCAGTTCCATGGCCTGATGCTGCTCATCTATTCCCCTTCATCTGCTCTCTGCTAATGAGGAGAAGATTGGGTACAGCTTGCCTCTGTGGCCAATAACTCACTGTGGAAATTTCTCTGTGACATATTCCTAGGAACAAAAGTCACCGAGTTTGAAGGTGCATCACACACATTTAATTTGACCAGGTATTACCAGTGCACTTTCTGTAATGGATGGACCAGTGTTCATTGCTAATAATGTGTATGAAGGTTTCTGAATCCCCACTTCCTCATGAAATTGACTTCCTCATGAATTTGACCGAGTTTGAAGGTGCATCACACACATTTAATTTGACCAGGTATTACCAGTGCACTTTCTGTAATGGATGGACCAGTGTTCATTGCTAATAATGTGTATGAAGGTTTCTGAATCCCCACTTCCTCATGAAATTGACTTTTTTCTCATAGTGTATGGTCAGAAAACTAAATGCTTATTAGTATCTTAGTTTATTTCCCTCTTACTGAAAAATAATTGGATAATAATAATAACTGTTCTTACATTTTTGGTATTTGTCTTTTCAACAACTTGTGGTCTGTAGCATATGTCGCTGTCTACTGAGTTGATTTATGGGTGCTCTTTGCTTCTTTTCAGTTGTTGACAAAGGTGTTTTTTTTTCACATTCTATTCTCTATCACTTTGTCAATTTTATTTTTATGGGGCAGAAATAATAAAATACAAAATAAGAATTGATCATTTTTGTCTTATGTTCTTATGAAAAAGCTTAATAACTGATCATTTTGAACATGTTATGTTCTTTTGAAGAAATTTAATGAAATCTGTTACTTTCACATGCTCATTTTCTAGCAGAGTCAGAAGCTGTAATAAAACAATTCATTCTGTGACTGCTGTAGATGATACATGGTTGAATAATGATACTGGCATTATATTCATTACTCTGCACTGTGTCCTTATTTTCTCACGATTCATTTTTAAGGGTTTTTGAATAAGAAGCTAGAATAGAAAGTGATCGTGTGTGTGTGTGTGTGTGTGTGTGTGTGTGTGTGTGTGTATGCATGCACATATGTGGGCATTTGATGTGTGCTTTGGAAAGATTAAAATATTTTAAAACATTAAAAATATTTTTATTTTATGTGTATGAGTGTTTTTCCTGAATGTATGTAAGTGCACCACCCATGTCATGCAATGCCCACAGAAGCCAGAAGAGGGTGTCAGATCCCCTGGAACTGGAGTTATAGATGGTTGTTAACCACCAAACCTGGGTTCTCTGCAAGAGGAGCCAGTGCTCTTAACCGCTGAGCCATCTCTCCAACCTCAACAATAATTAGTTTGGTCTGATGTTTTAAAATCTACTCATAAAACACTTGACCTACTTATGTTACATGTAAAATCTAACAAATATTTGTGCAGAAAGTAGCTCTAATATTAAAAATATTTTCTATTTTTTTAGACTTCCATGCATGCATACAATGGAATATATCTTCTCCCATTTCTTCACTTCGATTTCTGCTGCAGCACCCAGCACATCCTCCTCCAAATTTATGTCCTCTTCTTTTTTTGAAAAAAATAGCCCAATGAGTCCAATTAGTACTGTCCATATGTGCATGTGTGTGAGGCCATCCACTGGAGCACTGGTAACCCACCATGGTCACACTCTCTAGAAGAATGAGCCTCTCCCTCCCCACCAGCAGGTATGAATCACCAATCACTCCTCAGTAAGAAGCTTCTCTCCCAATAGAGAATGTTTTAAAAATTATAAAAAGAATGCTCATCAACTCATTTCATGGGGCTAAGATAACATTAATATCAAAATAAATTCAGGATGAGGAAAGTTAAAAACCCACTAATTTAGAAATATTGAAGTAAATATCTTAAAAACACAATCACTAAATCTAGCCATGTGTCAAACAAAGTTTGCAGAAATCAAATCAGGCTTCAATAAATACCTATTCTCGTCCATTCCCAGGTTTTCACTTAGTTGATAAATAAAAAAAAATATGTATATGGACAAGAAGTAATTATCTTTAGGCTTTGGAGGAAGACCTAAAGTAATTTGCTACCCAGGAATACCTTAAGTAGATAGGCTTATTCATCCAGTCAGTCTTGGAAAGAGATGCTGTTCGTGTCTGAGTTACTGTAGGAGAGCTCTTCCTGACTGCAGGAACATGGGCTTCAGCAGGCTGAATGTTCCTTAGATGATAAGAGAGCATGCCGGGCTATGCTCAGATTCACAAACCAAATGTCCTTTCTATAGTCTAGGGATGGATGGCATAAAATCACATAAAAAGCATTCATAAGAAAGAGGCAGAGAAAAATCATTTTTTAAATGAGCAATCAAGATCAAACTATATTTATTCCTGGACTGAAAGCATGGTTTAACATAAAGTTAGCTGATACAATTTGCATTTTGATGTAGTAACGACAACAGCCATGTCGTCCGCCCAGTAGATACCAAGCATTATTTGGTGAAGGCCACTAAGCTTCCTTGATGGAACATTAGCATAATAGAAATGGGGAGGAATGCTGTTATCTTGGCATATGTTTTCTACCACATTGTTGTACTAAGCACTGTCATTACTAGTAAGTCATGAGAAGCAGTGCTTATAAATGAGGGAATAATACAAGATACCAGAAAGATTGAATATATTTGATATGTTTTCTGAGTCCTAGCTAGGGAAGATACATGCAAAATAAATGAAATATACCCTAACTACAAAGGAAGGAACAGAGGTATTATTACTTTTAAATAATGCAATTTTTTTGCATAGAAAAACCTGAGGGAATTATCAGAGAAATTCTTAGGCTAGTAAAGTCTCTTAATATTAGGCTAATATATGAAAGTCTATTTGGTAGAAAAGAAAGAAATACTCAGAAGTGTAACTACAAATTAACCCATCTCTGCACCCTGTGTGCTACAGTGCTGACCTGCTAGGCAAAATATGCTCACTGGTGCAATAGTGGCATGACTATTATAGGGTTAGCCAACCAATTCCTGCTTGGATCTGAGGCCTGCTCCATGGGAGGGAATATGTACTATGTACTGTAAATCTGTCAAAAGCCTATGGCTAGGGAGGCCTTGGCTATTGTGGGAGAATGTACTACTGATGTTTTACTAAATAAGCATCTGATTAAATTGTCTTCTAAATACTTATATTTACACCCGTAGTCTGGTGCAGCTCTCAACCTGTTAGAGAAACCTGTTTCAGCAGTGGGTGAAGGTCAAAGTAAAGACTCACAACTCATCAGAGTGTTCAGCTGTGAAAAGGACACATATATAACTCATTTTGAGGTTTGGGGACATTGAGGAGCAGGGAGTAAATGAGAGCTGGGGATGGAGCCAAGAAATGCAAAATGCTGTCTTCTGGATATGGTACGGCCATTGCAGTTATGAACACACACCTGTGACAACCTGCATGAGACCTGAACACATACATGGGAGGGGGCAATATGGGAGGGGAAGAGAGAGAGAGAGAGAGAGAGAGAGAGAGAATGGCAGCACTGGTGGTTGGGAAAAAGCTGTCAATAGGAGTGGGAAGGAATAAGAAAATGTAATGAAAAGATATAAGCACAATATATTTTATACAAGAAAGAAACTGTCAAAGCAACAGCCAAACTAAATCTGAC